GCTGAGATCATATACAGTTCTCATATATTAGTTAAAAATAAAGTTCTTATAGTTCTGTGGCTGCTCTCATTCTGAAGTTTCCTTCATTTAACTTCATTGGGCCCGTGTAGCTTTTACTTTGGTTTATAACTGGACAAACAACAGCCTCTATATTTTTAAAAATTCTTTTGTCTCCTAACTTCAACTTCATTGGCTCATTATAGCACCTTTTGAATCGAAAAGCAACTAGGTGGGGTTATTTTACAATAAAGCATTAAATCTGTTTGAGGAATTAGGAACTAACAATTATGCAAGAATGCAAATGATGGGCAGGAGAGAATGGCAATGGTAATTATTCTGATGTGGCGTTAAGGTCTATGGTCTTGCAGCCTGCCAGAGAGATTGATGTTAAATGATGAACATCATTGGAAAGCGGGGAATGTTCTTACTTCTAGCTTGCAGCCTGCCAGAGAGATTGATGTTAAATAATGTACATCATTGGAAAGCAGGGAATGCTCTTACTTCTAGCTTTGCTGTTTGAGAAATATCTGACCAGAAAAATTTCTGGAGCCCTCTGGTTAGCAGGCTTTTTCCCATAATATTCCAGGATTTAAATTTATCATGCGTCTATCAATTCCTAATCTTGTCAGTATTTACTTTTGGATTTTTTTACTTTGTTTGTAGAGAGTGTGTGGGAATGGGGGGGGAGGAGGGAGAAAGAGATGCATGGGCTGGACAAGGGAACAAAACCAGTCATTCTTCTTCCTTTCAGGGAAAATAAGAGATGCACTAAAGAGAGATATTATTCAGATACAGGTTCTGAAAGATGAAGGAAGCATAACCTTATGTATAAAAAGTGGCTTACTTCTCCCTCCTATATGCTACTTATGTTTCTTACACCTGGCCAACTATGTTCCACAAACTGCATGCCAATCCACACAGTTATAGCAGAGTGTTTGAAGATCTCATTGAGATATGGGGAGGGGAAAGCATGTCACTTTCTCAAGCTAGTGGAGTATATAGGCTCTCAGATAAAAATCACATTGGGAATTGTACTATGGTTGCTCACACAGAAATAATGTGCATCACTAAGAAAACAGATTGGCTGGGCTCCACGTTAGCAAAGACTGCAATGGTCAAAACATTAGCAGTATCCTGCTCTACCATTTCTTCCAGTAAGTATTGACTATCACTTTGGTAGAGCAGGATGACAGCAAATTAATACTAGCTGCTCCAACATACATAAGAAGAATCTTTAAATCTTTTACTCAGTATTGTGTGCAAGTGGCATTAAAAATCAAAATTTTGGGGTTATTTAGGTCATAGTCTGCAACTGTGCTTTACTCGTGGGCTGTGTCTACACTGGCATGAATTTCCGGAACTGCTTAAAACGGAATACTATTCCGTTTTCAGTTTTTCTGGAAAAGGAGTGTCTACATTGCCAGGCTGCTTTTCCGGAAAAGCCCTTTTTCCGGAAAAGCGTCTGTGGCCAATGTAGACGTGCTTTTCCGGAAAAGAGCCCCGATCGCCATTTTCATGATCGGGGCTTTTTTCCGGAAAAGACTACTGGGCTGTCTACACTGGCCCTTTTCCGGAACCGTGTTCCGGAATAAGGACTTATGCCCGAGCGGGAGCAGAATAGTTTTTCCGGAATAGCGGCTGATTTTGTACAGTCGAGCGTCGTTGCTTTTCCGGAAATTCAAGGGCCAGTGTAGACAGCTCGCAGCTTATTCCGGAAAAGCGGCTGATTTTCCGGAATAAGTGGCCCAGTGTAGACACAGCCATAGTGAAGGAAGTCCATACAGTAACTCTGAACAATCAGAATAAGGTAATAACTAAAAACTGAATGATGATCCTGATTCTGTTCTCAGATTTGCAACCCAAAATATATTCCTCATGCTTGACAGTAGAATACTTGTATATTTCACAACACTAGGATCCAAAGAGCAAAATGCTCCTGAATGTTAGAGAGACTGATTTGCCAGACCAATACACTCAGATCTAATGGAAGATACTAGTGATTAATATATGAACAAAACAGGACTCTCCCTCAATTTCAATAGTCAGGAATTCTCACCAATGCAAGTAAATATCTTGCAAGCTTCCAAATTTCCTTACAACACGCAACTTGAAATATTAAACGATTAATTTGAAAAATGTTCATAATAGTTCACTTAAAAATCAAAACTAGGTGTCTGTTTATAGGAACCACATTTTTACTTTGTATCAGATATAATAGTCTGGCTATAGAAAGATTTCTTGTGGAGAGGACAGAAGAGAACATATGATTTTAAATAATCAGTGGCTATTTCTGGAGTCTGGGATGAATGGAGTATTTAAAATTAAGAGCTCACTAACATTTCAATTATTTGTACAGTTTATGTATTTGAACTGAGGATATTCAAGTCACAGATATCAAATAAAACAAACTCACAAAAGAAACCAAAAACTATCTTAAGGAAATTTTAACTCAATCTACTGGAGACTATGAAGCATGGTTATAGAAGAGATTGTAGACATACAGACATTTCTTAGCAGACAGTTTACACCCACACACACAAATATACAGTAGCACAGCTACTCAACACATGCAGGATTAATTGCACTTGGAGACTATAATTCAAGCAGCATTTATCCCAACTGTACTGTTGGAATACAACTGTCTTTTGGAGAGAATTTTAAAAAAAATTGTAGATTAAGCACACCTTACTCTCCTTTGATATCTAGCAACAGCAAAATATTAATGTAATCATTAAAGAAAATACATTACATTAAAAATAAATCATAATATTTGCAATATACACTTAGATGTAGAGGAAAAGTAAACAAGAAATCATTTCATTTTATTTTGCCAAAACAACTCTGTAGTGTAATATAATGGACTGAATGAGCTACCGATGCATTTTGGGTTTAAAGTTGACTTTTTTTGCAACTTTCATACCACAGAAAATCATCACTACACAAGAGATACTGCAGGTGAAAAGCAGTATTTGCCTTTGTGTTTAATGCTGTTTCATGTGAGCTAGGTGTCCTAAACAGTATTTCCTATCAGAATGTTCTATCATTTAAATAAAGGATCAAAGGCACCCTGATAGTTCAAATTAGATATTTCTACAAAAGAAATTTGTTCCCAATGCAACAAATTATGTGTGAGACACAAAGTTAACCATCAAGTCTGGCTTCATATAAAATAAACCTTCCTCCCCACTGTCAAAGTATGCAAGCCAATCTATCACCAGATGCTCAGAGAAGAAGCCTGGTACTAACCCTTTACCTGTGAACATGGATGAGTAAAACTGAAGAGAAAGCCAAAACAAAGGTGGATCAGGAGGCAGGCAGGTCTGGGTAGTTTGAGACACTCTATTAATTCTGTATTATTTTGCTAAAAGCAGATCTCCATGTGCCTAACAAGAATGATAAATAGCTGACCACAGCCACACACCCCTTATGGGAGTATTAGTAGCAACGAGTAATTTAGAGGCAGAAGGAGAAATATAGAGCTCTTGATTTTCCTCAGAGCCACTGTGCATTTCAGTAGTCACTGTTACTGGGACCCTCCTTCTTGTCACCCCAAACCCACTTCCTTAGCCGAATAAGAACAGGCAGCATCTGGCAAGGCTTCTGGATAGGACCCTTTCCTGTTTTCATATAGCCACGTATTCAGAAGTGGTCGCCCCTTTAGGGTTCGGGGCACCCAAGCTCCGACATCAGGGCCGATTTTCAGAGCTACTGACCACCCAGAGCCGCCCCAAGCTTCACCCGGAACTGCAGGCACTCAGCACCCCGAAAAGCCAGGCTCTGGAGTCTCCCTCCAGCCCCGGGCACTCAACATCAATAGCCATTGGGCTGGGGGTGCCCGGAGTGCTCAGCTCTCCGTCCACCTGGGCTCAAGACGAAGCCTCAGCCCCACCTAGCTGCCTGGCTCCGAAGACAGGGGGTTAACCAAACGCTCGGGCACTGTCCAGCGCCTGGAGCAGGGTCCTGCTTTAGCAGCCGCCCAAACCTGAACGCTGCGCCCCGGGCACTCAACATCAATAGCCATTGGGCTGGGGGTGCCCGGAGTGCTCAGCTCTCCGTCCACCTGGGCTCAAGACGAAGCCTCAGCCCCACCTAGCTGCCTGGCTCCGAAGACAGGGGGTTAACCAAACGCTCGGGCACTGTCCAGCGCCTGGAGCAGGGTCCTGCTTTAGCAGCCGCCCAAACCTGAACGCTGCTCCCCAAGAGGCGCAGGGTGGAAGGGGGGGCGCAGCCCGGACAGCGAAGGGAGAGGGCGCCGT